CGTAGCACTTAGCATGCTCGACTAGATGCAAGAGCCTAATAAAGCAATTAAACATGTAGCAACAAAAACAAGCAACCAAGGGGAAGGGGAAGTGGACCAGATGCTCTCCGAGCCCTATCTATTACAAGCCAAGAGGTATACACATACCCCATAAAAGCATAAAGGGGAAAGGGAAATGGACCAGATGCTCTCCGAGCCCTATCTATTACAAGCCAAGAGGTGTACACATACCCCATAAACTTAAATAAAAGTAAAAGCAAGTAAATGCACGCAAGGAGATAAGGAAAGCGAAGTAGACAGGCATATTCACATAACACGTAGGAGCACATAGGGTCAAATGAAGTGCAAATAAAGGATAGAGTGTACCTCCCTCGAATCGATGCCTTAAATGGAGTGAAATCACTTATTCATCCTCCAAAATAATAGAAATGGTCAAGGTACCAATTTATTTGGAAAAATTAAAGAAAATGTGCAAAACAAAGCTCACTTGATCATGAAGCCCCTAAAGTCATGATTTAAGCGCAATTGAAACAAAGCATGGTAGTTAATTGAAGCAAACAAGCAATAAAGTTGCACAAATTAAAATTATCAAGGACCAATTTGACGAAATTCTTTAATTGATTGGGTCCTAGTGGAACAAGGGGAAACTCGGGGGGCCAAAGTGCAATTTTTGAAAAACTATTTTACATGCATGCAAGTCACGTAAGAAAGCTCCAAGCTGCAACATTCATTCGAATTTTCTGCAAGTTCAAGCTTTCAAGTGCAGATTTTCATACAAAGCTTCAGACAAGAATTGGTGAACAACAACACTCAATATTCTTGGTAACTAAACACCTACTCAATACAATCAATCAAGAACACAAATCATTAAAATCAAAATGAAAGACCAAATGGGGAGCATGTGTTGCGGCAGCAAGAAGAACCCCCCAAAGAAAGGATAGAGCTGCTACACCAAGCCAGGGACTCGGGCTTATTGTGGCAGAACCTTATGTCCCCAAATCAACCATTTGCAAACCAGAAACTAAGCAGGAGTACCATCTAACATTCGAATGCCATCAAATGAAAATTCAAACAGATGCATTCGGTAGGACTACTGTAATAAAAATCTGACGCAACTCAATATCGTGTATAAGGAAAACTAAACGCGACTTCCTGCAATTCTGACTTCCAGGGATTTGCACAACATTACATGGCAAATGGCTAGCAACAAAATCTAATTTTCAGGCCCTCATTCAGTGTTACAAACTCATGTCGTGCAAGGGGAAGGAAAATCTGGGCAGAGAGGGGTCATAAGATCAGATTTCAAGTTGGATGGCCGAAAATTTTGTCTTACTGCAGATTTTGCAGCTTATCAAACACAATCCCAAATACCTTAAACCTTCTACCGAAACTTCAGAACGGATGCACAAGATATGAACCTAAAGCCCAAACCACAATTTTATAATCAAGAACGAGCAAAAGACTGAACAAATTGGGCAAACATCTTCTCAGGTTCACGGATGGAAGCAAGTTAACATCCAAATAAAGAATGCATCAGGGGTACATAAGGAGAGAACTTATATCGATCCTAACCAAAAGAACAGATTTTGCGCAACCTTCTGAGCAACACTTGTCCAACCTAACATTGACTATCAAGTTTCCTTGTTCAAAACAAGATCAAACAGCGACTGAGGCAACAAAAATCAGACCAGCGGGCTATTACGCAGCCAAAACGTACAGGAATAGAAATGCAGTAACCAGAATTTTAATCATGCCTGAAACCAAAACGATAATATACGGTCAAAAAGAGATGGAAAAATACTACCTTTACATCTTAAAAAGGGCGCAATTCAGTACGGAAGTGCAAGAGATAATAGCCCCGGTATGCAATCAAAGCTGCAAGATCTTCTTCAAAGCTGACGTGGGTGGCTAGTTCAAGCTCGAATTTGGCAATATTCCAGCCGTCAACCTCACCCTTTCTTTGTTCAAACGTCTAAAATTTCTGGTTCTTAGCTCACTCCCAAAACCCCACGAAACTCTCCCCCTTTTTAGCTCTCTTGCCCTCTCAGCTTTTTCAGCCGCTGTTACGTTTCTTCGGGTTTTCCTTTGATAGACAGCCGCCCCCTACTCTTGCTTTCTTCAGCCGTTGCTTTTTTTGTTTTCTTTTGCTTGTTGTTTTTGCTAAAACCTCACGACCCAGTACCCTCTGCCGAAATTTTTCTCTCTGCTCTCTTCTTTTCCCTTGCTGTTTTTTGTGTTTTTCTTTTTTCGTCAAAACTCTCCCCCCTTTTGTTTTTCTGTCCGCTGTTGCGGCTGGCTTTCTCCTTTGCTTTTTATACCAGAAACCTCACAACCCTAAACACTCCCAGCCATCTTCTGTATTTGCAGCCCAAGGAGCCGTCCCAAACTTTCCTTGCAAGCTGCTACAAATGCAGCTTGCCGCGGCTATCCCTTTTTTTTTTTTTTTTTTTTGAAGTAATTAAAACAATATTGATAAAAAATATAAAAGGAAATAATAATAATAACAAAAATACCAGAATTGAACACAATTTAAAATAACTAAATAAAGTGGCCATTTTCAATTTTTTCACATTTTTCTTTTTCCTTTTCCATTGTTTTTTCTTTTCTTTTCCCTAAATAAACCAAACAAAAATAAAAGATAAATTAAGTAGAAATGACTAAAATAGATAAACAAAACAAAGTTACTATTTTTCCCTTTTCCCTTTTCCCTTTTTCATTCCTTTTTTCCATTTTTCCATGATTTTCCACGCTAAAACTCAAAAAACAAAAACTAAAAGACTAAAAGGTAAATAAAACTAAAAATAAAAATAAAATAAAATAACATCTAAAGGGGCAAAACAGAAATGCAAACCATTTAAAACAAAAATCATGAGATAAACAAAAATCAATAGACAAGACTTATCACTAAAACGAAACATATAAATCAATTCAAAATTTGGTGTCTACACCGAGCTGAGGAAGTTCACCAGGGAGGTCATCCAGGTGGCCGGGCTGTCTATAGCCAAGACCTGGACTTGATCAATGCTCTTTTGCTTGACCACCTCTACCAAGACTTCCTTGTTCAGGTGGGCAAATGAGGAGGACGCCAGTTATGACAGGGCGTCGGCGCGGTTGTTCTGGGATCTCGGCACCCGCTCAATTTCGAAAGTATCGAACAGGGCGATTGCCTCCTGCACCTTGGCTAGGTATTTCTTCATAACCTCCTCTTTGGCTTCGTACTCCCCGCGAACCTGGAGGACGACGAGCTGGGAGTCGCTCCGGACTTTGATCGCGATTATACCCATCTGGTGGGCTATCCGCAATCCCGTAAGCAGGGTCTCGTACTCGGATTCATTGTTGGATGCGGGGAAGTCAAGCCGGAGAGCGTAGGTCAGCTCCTCCTCGGTGGGTGAGATGAGCAGCAGGCCTGCCCCGCTGCCTTCCTTGCTGGAGGCCCCGTCCACGAATAGAATCCCAAGGTTCTCCCTGCCGCGCCTCACTGGGCGGGGAGTTCTGCCCGGTCATGGCCAGGCTAGCCCCCTCAGCAAGAAAATCTGCCAAGGCCTGAGCCTTAATTGCAGTACGGGACTGATAACCAATATCGTGCTCGGCCAGCTCGACTACCCACTTGGTCATCCTGTCCGAGACCTCGGGCCTTGTAAGTATCTGCCGTAGGGGCTGATCAGTTACGACGACGATGCTATGAGCCTGAAAGTAAGGTCAGAGTTTCCGGGCAGCGTGCACCAAGGCAAGGACCAGTTTTTCAGCCGGCGTGTACCGCGTCTTCGGCCCATGTAAAGCACGGCTGACATAATATATCGGCCTCTGAGCCCCCCCGTCTCCCCGCACTAAGACCGCGCTGACGGCCTCGTTGCAAGCAGACAGGTACAGGAACAATGTCTCCCCGTGCTCCGGGGCGGTCAGAGTGGGCAGTCAGCCAGGTAGGCCTTCAGGTCGGCAAAGGGCAGCCCCCGGACCGCGGAACGCGAGAGGAATCTGTTCAGGGCGGCCATCCTTCCTGTGAGCCGTTGGACCTCCTTCACGCTCCTCGGGGGGGCCATGTCCATGATAGCTTGGAACTTGTCCGGGTTGGCCCGGATCCCGTCCCGAGACACCAGGAATCCCAGGAACCTCCCTGACCTGACCCCGAAGATACATTTCTTCGGATTCAGCCGCATCCGGCTCCGCCACAGGATGCCCAGGATTTCCCTAAGGTCGGGGACGAGCTGCTGATCAGTTCGGCTCTTGACGATCATGTCATCCACGTAGACCTCCATACTCCTGCCGATCTGATTCTGAAACAGTTTATTGACCAAACGCTGGTAGGTGGCTCCCGCGTTCTTTAGGCCAAACGGCATAGTCCGGTAGCAGTAGGTTCCTTCCTCAGTGATGAAGGAGGTCTTTTTCCGATCCTCCTCAGCCATTTCTATCTGGTGGTACCCCTTCAAGGCATCCAGAAAACACAAAACATCGAAATCCACAGTAGAATCCACTAACCTGTCGATTCTCGGTAGAGGAAAGCAGTCCTTCGGACAGGCTTTGTTGAAATCCACGCACATCCTCCAGGTCTGGTCCTCCTTCTTAATCAACACCAGGTTGGCCAACCAGGTCGGGTAGTAGACCTCTAGGATGATCTTAGACTCCAGCAGTTTTCCCACCACTTTCTTGATCACCTCATTCCTTTCTGGGGCGAAACTCCACTTTTTCTGCTTCACCGGCTTGAAGCGGGGATCTACGTTTAGGTAGTGGACTGCCAGTTCGGTCGGAATCCCTGGCATGTCTTCAACCGACCAGGCGAAAACCTGGGAGTATTCTCTTAGTAGGACCTTCAAGTCTTTCTTCTCATCAGGGGGCAGTAGCGCGCCTATGCGGATCACCTGGTCGGGCTGGTCTTCCTTCAAGGGGAACTCCTCAATCTCGTCCTGGGTGCCCGGCTGCCGGGTTTCGTCCCCCGGGATGTAGGGCTCCAAGTAGGTCGTCTGGGCGACCACCTTCTCCCGTCCTTGAAGCATGGCCAGGTATCAGGCTCTGGCCACCTCGGGATCACCGCGCACCTCGCCTATTCCTCCCGAGGTGGGGAACTTGACACTGAGGTGGAACGTAGAGGGAATAGCTCGGAGAGCGTTCAAGGCAGGCCGACCCAGGAACACGTTATACGGGGATTGTTGCTTGACCACCACGAAATTGACAGGGATGGTCCGGCATTTGGGGGCTTGTCCTACCGTGACCATCAGGGTGATCATCCCCTCCGGGTTGATAGGAGGTCCGGTGAAGCCCACCAGGGGTGTCCGAACTGAGGTCAGCTGCCCGTCCTCCAAGCCGAGCTCCTTGAACACCCGATAGAACATAATGTCAACCGCACTTCCTTGGTCGACATACACCTTTTTCACTCGGTAGTTGTTGGTGACAATGTCTATCACGATGGTCTCGTGGTTCCCGGACGCTAGGGGAACTGCATCCCTTGGTCCGAAAGTGATCTTCTCGTCCATGCGCAGCCGTTTCAGGGAGTCATCCCCCTCAGGGGGAGGTCGCCTGTTCTTCTGAGCTGTGTGATTGTCTCCCCCGGTGGGGCCCCCAGCGATGGTGTTTATCACCCCTGCTAGGTTCTGGATGTCCTGATCGGGGGAGTGGCCCCGGAGGGCGTCACGCTGCTCAGGGCGGTCTCGACGCTGACTCCCACCCCGATCTCCATGGTAGGCGCGCCCGGGCTCCTGGCCAAGGCCACCTTGCCGCACGAATCACCCCAGGAAGCCGCGCTGGATCAGATCTTCGATCTACTTCCGCAGGTCCCAGCACCCCTATGTGTCGTGTCCGACGTCGCGGTGGAAGGCGCAGTACCGGTCCTGGTTCCTCTTGTTCCGAGACGTCCCCATCTTGGGCGGCCGGCCTTCCAGGCCTTCCGCCTCCATAACAGCCAAGATCTGAGCTCTAGGCCGAGTCAAGGGGGTGTAACCCTTCTCGGGGAGTGGTGGCGGAGCAGGGGTTTTCTCTCTCAAGAGCCGGTCAAAAACGTTCTTTTTGGTCGGGCCCTCCTTGTTCTCAGGGTGGTTCCCCCGTCTTCCCCGATCTCCAAGCCCCCGATCTGATTCTTTCTTCAGGCAAGCTACCTCCTCCGCATTTGCGGCTGCGTGAGCCCTGGTCAAGAGCTCCTCCAGATTTCTGAGAGGCTGCTCGGCCAACTTGTAGAAGAGGTTCTCCACCCTGAGCCCATTCATGAAGGCAGCCATGACCACCTTTTCGTCCTTATCTCTGATCTGCAAGCTCTCCGTGTTGAAACGGGTCGTGAAATTCCTTAAGGACTCGTCGGACCTCTGCCTGATTGCCATCAGGTGAGTCGCGTTCTTCGAATAGGTCTTAGAGGAGACAAACTGGGCGACGAACTGCCTGGCCAGCTCGGGGAAATTTCGGATAGTCCCTGGGGTCAGACCTTGGAACCAAAGCCGGGCTTTCCCCTTCAGGAACATGGGGAAGGTCTTGCAGTGGATCTCGTCCGCCGCAGTTTGTAGGCGCATGTGTGTCAGGAAAACCGAGAGGTGGTCCTCTGGGTCGGTCGAGGCATCGTACATCTCGATGTTCGGGATCTTGAATCTCCGAGGTAGCGGATAGTCTTCTATTTCCCGGGTAAAGGGTGAGATTGTGTAATTGTCCTCGTACAATCGTGGCCGCAGGATCTGTTCGAGTTCGTCTCGGACAGGTTTCCACTGAGGGGGATCGCGCGGCCGGCTCGTAACAAATCGAGCAGGAGAACGCTCCAGCCCGTTCCGTGTGGGTTTTCGTGGGGAGGGGTCTCTTGGACTGCTTCCCGCGGACCGGTCGCGGGAGTATCTCTCACAGTCTCCGACCACCGAGGCCCGTGGGCGAGGGGTAGTCCTTGGTCGCTTCCTCCTGGGAGGCTGGTCCCGTGATTCATCTTCGGAGGGGACGAGTTGGGGCTCCTTTCCCTTGTCCTTTGCCTTGGAGGTCTGCGCGCCTCAAGCCCCCTCTCCCTCCTTCGCCTGCCGGATTATGTCTTCCAGCATGGGGAGGTTCTCCGTCACGAACTGGAAGATCTACTGCCTCCGCTCCCCTGAGAGGGCCGAGCCCCCGGCGCCCCGAGCCGCCTCGGCCTCTATTCGCTGGGATTCCTCACCGGCTCCAGGGTCGGTACTCTCTATCGTTCGCTTGGACCGCATTCTCGCCATCACCACAATCTTGATTACCTTACGTTTCCCACAAACGGCGCCAACTGAAGAAGCGCTGAGCTTCCCCGGACCGAGCTGAACTGGAGAGCTCGGAGTGCTGATGACAGAGCTGGTCCCAAGCCTGCAAGACAGAAAAAAAGAGTGATCGAGCAGGGGCCCCGAGGTCGTCCCCGAGGGCACTCCGACGGTCAAGTTAGTTCTCCGGTCCGTAGGTTCACGGGAAGTAAGCAGTCGGGAGTAAATTGCCTATAGTGTGCGTACCTTGCGTAAGTGACGTACATTGCCATATATACCTGTAAGAGAGTCCGATCTCCGTACGTTCCGGGACTTGCCCAGTATAGCCCTTATCTCGTGCCGTAGGGGATCTCCTCCGACCTCTGCGGGATGATCCCCTGGCACTTCTGGAGCCCTAGTGGAGGTGCGGTCCGGGGCAGTTGCTAGGGGCCTGGGGTCGAGGCCCAACTCGGCCACACCTGGGCTGCCACGTGTCTAGGCCCAGGACGGGGCCTCTGCATGGGCCAAATCAGTAAAGGAGTGTTAAAAGGCTGGAACTTGAGCCCAATCTAAACAGTAGCAGGTAGAAACAAACGGTTGAAGAAAATACCACTTAGCCACCGACATAAAATAAGAAGGCAGAGAGAAAGGGTGAAGGTGGCAGGAGAGGTGAATAAATAAAAATTTTACCTCAGCCAAAAACCTTTGGGCTTTGGCTCGGCACCTTCTTGTTGTCTTGCTTCTGCTGAAACCTCTGTAGCAGGCAAGCAATGAAAGACTAAGATGGAACAACCCCACAATCACAGGCCAGTCGGCTAGGAAAGATGGCCAACAAAAGCAGCAGTAGCTTCCAGTCAAGATGTCGGGTTGGGCCCAATACCAACTGCTATGAAGGGTGATCGCCACTCACTTGAACTACTTGATGTTAGATGAAAGTACTTGATCTCCTTAGACATCACATCTTTGGTCGGTAGATGGGAAAGGAGGTGACTGAGGAAATTAGTCGACAGAGAAAGGAAAGGAAGGAAGGGGAGGCGGTGGCAGCGGCGGCAAGGAGGAGTGAGGTAGGGGAAAGATTAAGAAGTTAATTACAAATTTTAAAAAATTCCTTCAAAAAGTTTTAAATTTAAAAATACTAATAATTTTTTTTAATTTACTCAGTTTGATTACAATTCATACCTAAAGTTTCTAAAATACCCTTGTTTGATGTTAAATTAGGAGTCAAATTGCTTTTAGATGATGGCGCCACCGTAGAAGGCTTTAATTAGACTTGAAAATTAAGTTCATGTATTAAATTGGCCAGAAATAAAAGTTAGTGACTAAATCAACGGAAAAAAAAAATTTGAGGACGAAAATGACCATTTTCCCCAACTTTTGTAGTTGTTTAGTGGCGAGATATTCTGGTAACTTTCGCATCTGAAGACAAAATTGCAAGGGAAGCTTGACGAGCTTTATTTCTACTATTGGAATAAATATTTCTTCAACGTTAACTCTTAAGCTGTCTGCTGCAACTTTTGTAGTTGCTTTGTGGTGAGGTATTCTCGTAATTTTTGCATTTGAAGACAAGATTGCAAGAGGCGTTTGAGGAGCTTTATTTCTACCATTGGAATAAACATTTTTTTTTCAAACTGAACTCATACTTTTACTTGTTTTTATCATGATTTGTTTCAAGAAAAACATGTGCTTTCATCCTAATCTACTATAAGTACCTAAGTTTTTTTGTTCTAGGATTGAGATGAACTTGTTTGATTTTTTACCATGGATTGATTGTGATTGTTTGTTGCTATATCATGTACTTGTTAGTTCATGTATTCCATGTTTTTTATGTTTGTAGTTATTTGATAACCAATTACAAACTATCTATCCTATTGTTTGTCTAGTTAGAGTTGGCTAACAATAATAGATCAAAATTCTTCAGCTCTGAATCTTAGATTCATGAAAGTAGAAATGCTCTGAATCTTAGATTTAACTTGTGTAATGATATGGTATAATTGGTTAGTAATTTTATTATTTATTTCCCCTTTTATCCCTGATAAATATTGTATTAATTGCTGATATCTACTCATATTTGGTATCTGGACTTAATTTCAGGAAGGAAACAGAAAACTACCGAAAAGGAGGGATTTTATAGAGAATATGGAGACTTCTAAGGGCTTCAATCCTTGGGCCCTTGGATTGGTGGGGACCACAAAGCTATAAGTCATTTGGGCTCTTCAAAGAAAGCTACGTAAAGAGACTTGGGAGAAGAAGTACTTGGGAGGTTTTGTCCTCATGTGTGGGGACCACCTAGATAGCTTTAGTCTATCTTTCTTTTGTTTCTTAAATAGGGATAACGTAAGGAAGGGAGACATCTCTAGTTTTTTTAGTCTTTTAGTTTAGTTTTAGTTCTTCTTTCTCCTGACTGGCCTCTGACACACGCCAGGTGTTCGACAATATTCCCCAACGGGAAAAATACCTTTTATTCCTTGCTTCTTAATAAAAAACGCAATGCCTTTGCAATTTATTAATTCGTGTGGTGATTTAATTATGCGGCGTGGCTAAGTCTTCCATCTAGTCAAGGGTCAACTTGACGGCGCAGTCCCGAAAATCTGTGAGATCTAATCAGTTTTCACGTGTTCCTTTATCTATTAATATTTGCATGTTGTCTGATTTAATTTTCATGGGATTATTTTATTAATTGGATGTCAAGGGCCCGATGTTCAATGTGATATATTAATCTCGTGCCAATTTAGTCAATTAAATCCGTAATTGTTTGATTGATTAATATTAGTGGCAACTGGTGTGTTTACACATTAGGGGAGCGTGCAATCTAATTTAAATAACCCTCGTAGCGTGTTATTGATTAGGGCTAGGTTTTTCTGGTTATTAATGCAATTGGAAAATTAATTCCTACGGTCGTACCTAGGAGTACTTTTCTGGTTAGGGGTGACTAATGGTCGTACCTTGGTCACCTATAAATTAAGGAAAAATTGGTCATTAGAGTTCCTTGATGGCTATAACTAGTCTATTAATAAATTAAGTGAACCTCTCTTGCATCAATGATTTGATAAATGGACTGTGCCTGAGTAGTTGCATCCTTGGCTAGAATTTATTTATTCCTGGTTAAATTCCTGCTATATTTGTGCTAGTTATTTATTCATTTTTAGTTAAATTGTTTAATTGTTTTTAGTTTCATTCCAGTGAAATCCCCCCTTATCAATTGGACTTTAAAAGAGACAGATATCTCCAGTCCCTGAGGAGACGACCCTACTTGCCACTGTCTACTATTTGATAATTTTTATCAATTAATTAATTCTGGTATATCGGATTAAGCAAACTCTTCGGGAACAGGGTGAATCAAGTAATCCATTGCACACTTAGAGTCCCTGCTCCAGTACCTAGGATTAATTATTGACTGTTTTTAGTGGTAGCTAGGTTCTATATTTATAATTATTATTGCACAGGTTTGACGTCCTGTCAATTTTTGGCGCCGTTGCCGGGGACTGGCGTTATTATTTGTTTCTTTATTAAGTTCATTTTTGCTCTAATTTTCTGGTATTTTTCTAGTGTATGCCTAGGTCTTCTCGTACAGGTGAATTGATTTTTGACCCTGAAGTAGAGAAGACCGCGCGTAGAACGAGAAAGGAAACCAGACAGCTCAGAGAGGAGCACTCCAGTGCTGCATCTCAGAGATCTGAGCCCGAAGTTGAACCATCAGATTCGTTTGGTGACACTTCAAGTGATTCGTACCAAGAGAGCGTCGCCATGGCAAACACACAAACATTAAGGGAGTTGGCTGCTCCAGACTTGACCCAACAACCTCTTTGCATAACTTTTCCTCGCCTTAGTGAGAATGCAGCTTTTGAATTAAAACCTGGTTTAATACATTTGTTGCCTGTTTTTCATGGTCTACCAGGAGAGGAACCCCACAAACACATGCAGGAATTTGATGTGGTGTGTTCGAGTATGAAGCCTTCGAGAGTAACTGATGAACAAATTAAATTAAGGGCCTTCCCTTTCTCTCTAAAGGACTCGGCAAAGGACTGGTTATACTGTCTACCTGCAGGCATCATCACCACGTGGCCAGAGATGCAGAAAAAAATTTTTGAAAAATATTTCCCTGCATCCAGAGCTGCTAGTTTGCGAAAGGAAATATGTGGCATCAAGCAATTTCACGGGGAATCCTTGTATGAATATTGGGAGAGGTTCACCAGGCTGCGTACCCGATGCCCGCATCACCAAATAAGTGATCAACTGCTGATTCAGTATTTCTACGAGTGGCTACTGATGAACGATAGAAATATCATTGATGCAGCAAGTGGTGGTGCACTGGTAAATAAGACTACCCAAGAGGCATGGGACCTAATCGAACGAATGGCAGAGAACTGCCAGCAGTTTGGTACGAGAGCTGA